AGGACTTACTGTGCTCTCTTGAGACTTTTACTCCTTAGGAGTATAGAAGCTAATGCCTAAGAAGATCAACTAGGAACAGTGTATAGGAAATTGGTACTAGGAAAATTTTCAGCTAATGTAAATTTCTCAAAGCATTTAGAGGTTGATATTCTGTCTCCTCTTTATATACCTGTCACTCAAAGGGAAACACCGTGGATATGCATCAGACCTATTTCTTTATGATTTATGCTCAGAATACAGATGTCATAATGATAGCTATCAGCCAATTTTCTGACATTCTTTTGTGATTGGCAAGGGAATGGACTTCTTCAGAGCTACAAGTCCCTTGTCTCTGAAAGGATTAGTGCAGTCAGTAAGGATCCTGAGGGAGAATCTCTGTATGAACCTAGGACAAACTCAGTATCTCCCACAAACCTCACATCACACAGCATCCATTTTTTTTTTTTTACTTTAGATTGCCTTTGTGTATTTGTGTGTGTATCAGTACCTAGTACACATTAGGTGTTTAATAAATTGTGTATTTATTTTCCTTTCAGATGTCTCACACATTTGTCCTGATTAAAAAAATGGGTAATTGATTTTTCATGATCACATTTTTCATGAATGACTTAATGTCTGGCACCATCTTTATGCTTACTAAAGACTGGGATCCAATTTTCCTTTGGTTTTTATTTCCTAGAGTTTATAGACAAGAGCTGAACACATAATGGGCAGTCGGTGAACATAGAGAAGGCAAACTTTGTAGAAGCGAGTCAACATAAGACTGTTTAAAAACTACACTGCACTTAATCCTGTTACCCTAATTTAGTACGCAGGAAGCCTGAAAAGTCTGATTCTTCAGTTTCCTCTTTTAAAATTGGGGTCAAAATCCTCACCCTGGCTTCCTGCATGTCTTGCTGTAACCCAAGAATTGGCTAACTCTGAAGGACCATGAGAACAATGCAGCTGTACAGCACTTTGGCTGTTGCAGTTCAGCAAGTTTAAAATGGCAAGTTCACAATGGAAAAACCAATTTTTCACAGACTATCCTGATGACACAGAAGTGAGATTTTTTTTCTCTGCTAAAAACCAAATGAAAACCAAACAAACTGCAGGCTGCTATCATATTGAGTATAATAGTTCTTCACGTATCATAAGGGTCAAAACTGGATTATATCCCACCAAGATGAATAATCACATAATTCTAGGTCTCTGAAATACAATATTTTACCACAGTCTTCCACCAGGACTTTGGCTGAGGGGCCAAATGATGGTGCTCAGGTACTGTTTAGACAACCTGCGGGGACCCAGAGGTGCTTACAGACCAGCATAAGCAACAGTGACAAAAACAATTGTCAGTGCTTTTGTTTTGAGAATAGGATGGTTATTTAAGTCTATAGTTATCGTAGCTATGTCCTCATTGTAACCTCTATTTTTAACTAGCCTAAACTGAATGCACAATTCTCAAACTATTGCATTCCTGCACCACACAAGTGTCAGACTTCTTCCCCTGAAATACAAGTCTGAATTGTATAGTTCTTTGTAACATTCAAAATATAACCCAATTGTATAGCACAGAAAGCAACGCCTTCTACAATAAGGCCTCTGCCTTTAAATTTATTCAACAAATACTGGCTTTCTGTCCACTGTGCACCCTCACCGCGCTGTCCGGTTCCTCAGTGTTCCTGATACATGTGCTAACCTCCTCTGCTTTCTGTCTTTTCTTGACCTGCTTGCTCTGTCTGAAAAGCAGCTGCTTCTGGGCACTTGGACAAATCCTACCTGTGCGATCTATTTCAAAGGCTAGCTGCTGTATCGGCCGCATGCATGTGGTACTCTGGTGCAGCAGAGTGCTAGCCCACCCTGCTGTCTCTCCCCTTACGTTTTGCCTTCTTAGGGTGAAGTGCATGGTCTTTGCATTGAATCCCATGCAATACTTATCTTGTAGAACTAAATTGAATTTAAAATATTAGAAAAAGGTTCAATAATATGCCAAAACCTGATTTTGGAAAATTGAATCAAATGTATATGGACTGGGTGCATGGCCTGTTTTAACAGTGCCTTTAGTAATGGATTCACTCCAAATGAGTCACTGCTAGACTTGAAACATGGGGCTTAAGGAAAAAGGGCAAGAGTAATAGGTGTATTTTCATTACAGAAATTTTAATTTAAATTCTCAAGCAATACTATTATATTTTTAACTTGATAGACTTATGTTTATCTATTTACTCTATTGAAATATAATCCAAAAGCAATAGCCTATTTAGAACATTACAATATATATTGTATAATAACATAATATAAAGGGTACTCACAAAAGTTTGACAGTGATTTTATCTACAAAGTAATGGCTGAGCGTAAAAGATGCCAGTACCACTAGTCAAAAAATAAGAACATCATTAAATCATATCCTGCCATTTCTGTTAAATATTAACATCTTCAGTATTCTTTGTTTTTACCCTGGAGATTTGGTTGATTCTTTTCACCCTACGCAGTGGTAATGTGCTGAAGTGTTCCCCTGGTCCTTTCTCTTCTGATCCACCGCCACTCAAACACCCCAGACCTGGTATGTAGTCCAGGGGCACTGACCCAGAGAGTGCTCTAATCAAAGGCCTGTTACATCCCTGCTCCATTTGGTTTTCTTCCTGTGCTGAGCTAATCTAGCTTCTGAAGGTGATCCTTCAAGAAACCTTTGAAACCCAGAATAGGCCTCAGGTCACCCTGCTTGCTCTCTTCTGAGACCTGTCCTGCCGGGTGACTTCACAGTCTTCCCTTGTCCTGGCTAACAGAAAGTTTATGCAAGCTCAGAGGGACTCCCAATGCTCTCATCTTAATAAGAGTTTTACTCTTCCTCCCAAAGCATTATTTCCCAAACATAATCCACTTGAAGTTCAGGAGGGGAGTAGAAAGCTGTTCTATATCCTTTTGTCTCTTCTATTGTTATACAGCAGTGTTCTCTCCATAGCTTTTCCTCAAAACCCAGCCAGGATCCTATCATGTTTGAGGTAATTGAAAGAAAAGTGATTCTTTTACTCTTCAGAGTTTTAAAGTTACCAAATGTGATTAAGGAAATACATATTTCTAAAAATTATTCCAAATATACTAAAAGAGCTAAGTCCTAAACCACTTTAAAGTTAAATATTTTTGTGATTCCAAAGATTAATTGTAATATGGCTATACATATTATTGGTTTTGCATAGATTGTCAATTTTGTACTTTCCAAGGGAAAAAATAGCCTGTGTGCAAAGGGGGAGAGAGCAGGTGTTTATGAAAAATATTATAGGTATTTCTTGATACACAGAATGACGTCAACCTAAAGTGGCGATGCCTAAGAATCAAAACCAAAAATGTTTGTACTTTCCCAGGTTCATTTATTTTTCTGTTGGTATTGCATATTGAAGAAGGGGCTGACTGCTATGTAGAAAGTTACTCATTTTAGAGATATTTTTACTTTATATAGCTGATTACTCAAAATGAATGTTTATCAATGATCCTAAGAAGCTATCTTTTTGATGAAATATTTTTGATGTGAAACTGTAGTATTTTTGAAACATATTTTCCTGGTTCTGTTTTATGACACTCATTTTATAAAATGTATAGGAAGGCATTCTCAACCCATGATATGATGGAAAACCAGAAACTGGAGAAAAATGAGTGAAACATGATTTAATTCTTTGGCATATAACTTATTAATAATTGTAAGTTATTTATCTAATGAGGTGTGAATAATGCAGTTAGGAAATGTTTCTTATTTATATAGTCTCTCCCATTAACTGCAAAGTAAACCAGAATGAAATGAGTAATTTGTGATACATTGCTTAATTTTGTTTACATTGGTAAATATTACAAAGAAAACTCACTTTTACTCTTCTACTAATATATATTTATCACATTTGAAACTGAGAAGGGACTTAGAAATTATCTGATCTAAATTTGTCACTTCACTTCTCTGTGAGATTAATGCCAAGGCAAATCAAGTGGACTGGCTTTATGTAACATAGCTGGTTAGGGACTGGGCTGGGACTTGATTCGGAGAATTCCTGACTTTGGATCCAGGAGGTTTTGCATTATAACTTACAACCTTTAAAATAGCATCTAATCCCACAGGGAGTTTAAATATTTGGGTTTGCTGTAGCTGTGGTTTTCTTAAAGTGTTTAGGTAAGAATAAACTGATATTATGTTTGCAACATCATTTTAAATTTGATTTCTAGGCAAAAAATCATATTTAAATCCAGCTTTTCAGCCAATATAAATATAAAAGAAAGATCCCAGCCAAATTCTGTCTTTTTCTGCCACCCTACTTCTATGTGTCTTTCTCCCTCTTCCTGTCATTTATGTTATGTTACTTTTAAACTGAGTCAGATGGTAGACAGGGCTCTTTTCACTTCTCTATGGAGTTAAGGCACAGTGGTGGTTCTATAGGATTCAAGTTCTACAAGTTTTCCTACCCCATTTAGTTGATTGCCACATAGATAAATAATGTAAGAAATTAAAAAGAAAAAATTTGGCAGACAGGAAGCAAATATGCCTGTAAATGCTTACTTAAGGCTAATGTGCATTTGTGAATATGGGTTACACGGTCAATCTCTATAGCTTGTGAGAAAAAAAAAAGAATATCCCCAAGTTTTTATTTCTTGAGGAGCAGAACAAGTAGACTTACTTGATTTATTTATTGTACCATAATCACTATCAACTATGCTTTAAGTAATATAGCCACTTTTGTAGCAGCACACCTTTTGAGGAGTGATATATAAATATTGACAATTTTAGTCAAATAACTTTTTACAATGTTGCAAAGGAATCAGATTCACATAACTAAGTATTTCAAATTTCTTAAGGGGGCCTTTTGAATAATGATTGTTCTCAGTATTACATTAAAAACTAATGAAAGAAAGTAGTTGTTTGATCCATGTTAATTTTTTCTCTATTTTTTCTCAGGTTTCATACATAAAGTCTTCACATTTAAGTCAAAATTTCCAAAATTATTATTACTTAAAAAAATAAAAGTGGATTAACTTACGGCCCTGATGCTCTCAAAATGTCCACCTTCTTTCTCAAACTCAATAGGCTGTCCTTTTAGCGTCCAGAAGAAATTGACATCCAAACTAGCATCATGGATTGCTTTGCAGTTAAGGACGATGCTTTCTCCCACTGTTAACTCTATTCTTTTAGGAGTAAGTTCTATCCTTGTAGGTTCTGTAGAAATAAAAATACATTGATTAACCTCATCAAAATGTAATGTTGCCCTGCCTTCTACGTCATTTTAAATAATAGAGGAAAACTTCAACAAGGGATCTCTACAGTACAATTGCTCCAGGTACAGGCATCTGATTTTTCACCCCGAAGTAAACTATTACTAGGTGAAATATTAGTTTTTTGGATGCTGGGGCATTTTGCTCTGCTTTTATTGGGGACTAAAGAGTCCCTGTTTCTATTAAGAAGTTAATTTGGACAAAAATGATGATAGACTACATAACTAGACAGGCATTGGCATTCTGGAAGGAGGAACATTAGAAAAATGAAACTATAGCCTTTGTGGTTATCTTGAAGGATCACCAATTAAATGAAAGGATTTTTAAAATAAAAATTATCCCATATCTCAGAAAGAATTTGGGGGTAATTTACTTATTAAAGGTTATTGTAGGTTACAAGACAATACAAAGAAACTTCCTCTGAATCTCTGTTTTCACAGAAATAAAGATCTAATGCAAATACTCTGCCATTTGTATTTACTTTGTTTTACTTTTAAAAATCTGCATAGGCAGAGAAAAGGAGTGGTGGAGGCACCCTCTGGCTCATTACAAAATATACTTTTGATAGAGTGTGGATGGCGTCATTGAAACATAGAAACATTGAATGGTTTTTGTTAACTAAAGATTCAGTTAAATCTCAAAACCACGTTTTTTACAGGGTTTAGAGCAGCTTTGAATCAGCAAAGGTGAATACAAGCTATGGGTCTATGGGTTAAAATAGTGATTGAGTGACTACAGCAGGATATGTTTTGAATAAAGTAATGAGGTGATAGAAACACGATTTTGATGTTTTACTCACTAGACTCCTGCATGAAGACACTACAAGACTGACTGAATAACAATCACGTGAATTATGTTATTCCAAGAATAATGCAGTCTGAGGAAGCATCGCGGCCAACCACTGACCGCATTCTTTAACATCCAGGCTCCTTCCTTCGGAGCAGTCACTGGGAAGAGGTGCAATCCCAGGCCTGGAAATCCCAACAAAAATCCCAACATTCTAGAAGGCAGATACTCCAGAGGGCGTGCACAGTTCCAGCTGCTCAGAGAAGGCAGATAACCACTGCAGGCTGCAGTTTAAGCTTTTTTTGGGCATTGGAGTGTTCTGAATAACTACAGATTCCATTTAACTCTTGACCAACACCAACATGTATTAATTTCTATGTTTGAGGGTCCAGCAATGAATGCTTTCTTATGAAAATGTCTGATTAGCAGCACACAGAAGGAATAAGAGAAAAACTGCTGTGCTGGGCTGGGTCCCAGTAACACATAAGATAAATGCAGGCATCTTTGAAGTTATGTTCTTTCCTTCCCTCGATTTTGGCCTCTTTTCTATAATATCAGAGTGCTGGCTCTTTTAATTACATTTTTATTTCTAAAGATAGAGGAAAAGCATTTTCACATTTTTATGGCTAAAGTATGATTTGCTGTTTGATACAAGCACAATGGAAAATATTAATTAAGGATCTATTCAGTTGTGAAAGTATGCTTTTGCCAGTTAAAGAGATTTTGCTGCTTAAAGTATGAATTTTTTTAACCACTGAAGAGTCTCAAAACGTTCTGGGCTTCAAATAGAGTTCACTTTGAAATAGAAAGCCAACAGAAACATTCAACAGTAATATGTATTATCTTAAAAGTGTCATTCACTTTAGAAGTAGAAAACAAAGAGAAGCATTTAAGTGGTACTATTTATGATTCTAAAAACTGCTGGTATAGGAAAACTCCCATGGATGCAAAAGCCCGGAGCAGCTGCGGTGCCAGTGTCCCTGAGGGAGGTGCCTCCACCTCTGGTACTCTCCTGCTACACCTCCCTGTCCCATGCCCCTGGGGCAGTGATAATAAAGGAATACTCCTGATCGATGCTGAAACTATTCTCAGTGGAGGAGAATATTTTTACAAATTGAGACATTGAATAAAACTTCTTAAAGCTTTCTTTACCCTCTTACAAATTTTCTTCAAAATAAAATATTTCAGTTTCTGCCAGTAACTTTCCTTCCTTTATGGTCCCCTAAATGGTCATTCTGTGTTTGTAATGCATTTTCTAAAGAGGAACACGCACACATGTAAGCGCAAATATGCGAGAACACTTCAGAAAGTTTGTGAAAAATGGAATTAAAAGGTCATTTTAGTCATTTTGATGGAAAAATTTGAAATCCATGCATATATACACCTGTATCATATTCATTCTCTCTCTGATAAAGCTATGAAACGGTACTTGTAAAACATTTGCCACATGGTCTTACCTTTTACCGATACCGAAGCTACAATTTCAGCAGAACCAAAGATGTTTTCCCCTCGGCAAACGTACTTTCCCTCATCTGATTTAGAAGCATTTAGGATCCGTAGATTCCCGTCTGGAAGAATAGCTATTCTGAAAATTATTAAAAAAGGGTTTTTTTCCTTTTTTATTGCAAATCAACTAAATGGTAAGAATCTCTGATGAAGTGTGAAAGCACTTTTAAGGTAATAACACTTAAGAGAAAGGACCACTGTGAAAATATGCAGTGATAATGGAAACATTTTACCCTTCAAGAAATTATGCAATAAACCCATTTAATATCTTTTTATATTCAAAAGGGTTAGTGAGCTACAGGTTATTTTTCCTTTTGGCAGTTTTTGACAGTTATTTTTTAAATGAATGGGAAAAGGTGACCCTGAATTTGGTTATTAAAAATTGTTACTATAATGCTCCCAGTGATTTTTTTAACATTAAGCTTGGGTATTTCACCTCAAACCAAAAGTGACCTCAAAACTCAAACATAAAAAGAAATAGCATAAGAACAGAGGGGGACAAGTAGAGAACATAAAATTAATTGTACACAGCCAAGAGATGATTTATGGCATTTTCTCCATACTGCCCCGGGTGTAGCAAGGGTATGAAATGTGACCTGATACTTGTGCTGCTCACGGTGCACTTTTTAAACCTAAAAATGTGATATCTGAGTTTGCATTTGGGCTCCTTCAAGACCTTTGTTAAAAGTGGACCTTCAGTTTTCTATGAAGGTGAAAAATTAAAGCATTATTAAAATTTTGTAGTTCAGTGAAAATGAGGTTGACATTTGGAATTACTGTGTTCTCCTGTGCACTCCTCATTCCAGGAATACACGAATTTCAAATTTAATTAGCACTTGTGTCCTTTGCTTCCTTCTGTGCTCCTTCAACCTATTCTTGCACTAGTGCCTCAACCAACTCTGGCGCCCTGGAATGCAGCAGAAGCGCGCGCTGTGGTGGTTTAGTTGGCATGCTGCTGGAGTTCGGACGACTTTTATTAGGAAAGGAGAGCTAGCAGGCTGTGCGGCTCTGTGTACGAATCAGTGATCCCTCTGAACTTAAAATTCTCATCGAATGCTCTTGTTCCTGAGAAGAATAGTTTATTCCATGGCGAAATGAAAATACTAAACTAAGACACAAGAATAATGACGAAATCTGTTTAGTCAACATTGTTTATGCTGTTTTAAAGTGTGTGTTCACTCTTGCCAGTCACCCAGAACAGACGACTAGTTACTGCATTGAAATTCATAACAATTGGTATTAATTCTAGGCTGCTGAAATACTCCTTATGAATTTGAACTTACATATTGGCATTAATAAAGATGTGAGTTTAAAAACATCATATGGTTTTCAATATGGATCAAACTTGATTTACAAGTGTAAAAAGGAAGACAAATTTAGAAACAAGGCAAGATAGGAATAGAGAATTTGATTTTATAATTCATGTCTCGGAGAGAGATACTAGTTGAGACACTTGCAAAACATAGTACCCTTGAAAGATATATATATATATATATATACACACACACACACACACACACACACACATATAATCCATTTAACATGGTCAGTGATAAAATTCTGTTCATTATTTAGATGGAGTTCATTTTCTGTCAAAATATGTATTTATTGCATTTCAATCCCAAGATACACATGCTACAAAAATTGTGTTTGAAGGAAAAATTATAAATTTTGAAAGAAATGACATCCTCTTTATAAGAATTACAGACTATTGAGATGCATCCGAATCACTGTGATTTGTGCAGATTGTTAATATCTGGAAAATATCTTGATTTTACTGACTAGAATAAATTCTAACCTAGCAGGTGAGAAGTTTGCTGTAAAAGTCCACCTTCTTTAAAGAAATAAATGCATCTTTGGTGCTGGCAGTATTTCAGCTCTGAATTTAATATGAGTGCTTTCTCACTGACAGGAGGCAACATATCACAGTTTTCTTTTAAAGATAGTTTATGAACACTCCTCTACTTGGGCCACTGATCAACTTGGGGGATGAAGACTATTCCATATCATGATGTTTATCTGTGGAGTAGTAGAATTATTTAACCAAAAGCCTATCTTAGATTCAAACTATAGATTCTTATCAGATGATCTCAACTTTTTAACTTAGAAAATAAAAAAAAAAATAGATAACGAATGTGATTTGCTGTGCCATGTCTGGTTATTGCACACATAGCTATTTAACTGAATGTTGAATGAACGTTTCCTTGAGATTTCTAGCCTCTTTATCCTTTCCTCTCTGCAATTACCTAAATTCTGGAATTCTAGGGTTTGGAGATGAATTCTGTTGAAGCATCTGTAGTTGGACTTAGAGTAGGGTGAGGTGAAGGTTTTCAGATAGGGACAGAGTTTACAAATGCAAGCCAGTATTTTAGCAGTAGCCATCAAGTCATGCTTACTATAATCCAGTCTTTAGACTTGTCCAGGATTTTCTGCTTAGACTTGGAGATATCTTGGTTCTCACCATGCACCTCATTACTGATCTCTGTGTTGTTTATTCAGTACTCCAGTCCATCTGTGACATCATAGTGCTTATTGCACGGATTCATTGTTGAATTCAGGACTACTTCTGGTCCATCTATTTCCATGTTTGCTTTACCTATCAGAAACCACACAACCTAGTTTAAACCTTTCCAAGTAGGCTTCTTGCACGGAGTGCCATCTGTTTACCTGTTGCTATATTGTTTACTGATCATGCTGTGATGGTGAAACCAAATTTCTTCTTTAGGAAAAAAAAAACATAAGTGTATACTGGAAAATGGAGTGGAGTTCTCATAAGATAAGTGTCCTTTTTAAAAAGAAACATGAAAGAGGTAGGTTTTGCTCTCATTTAGCTATCTGCCATGTGAGGACACCTGAAAATACTATGTCTAAACCAAAGTGGGACCCTTGTCAGAACCTGACAGTGTGGCACCCCGCCCCAGGATTTTCCAGCTTCTGTAACTATCAGAAATAAATGTCTAACCAAGGTTACCCAACTTGTTAGAACAGCCCAAATTAATACACCAGCCTTTCTCTATTGCCTGTGTGCCCTAATCACAAATTAATTGGCCATATTTGTGTGTGTCAGTTTCCTGATTCTTTATTCTGTTCCACTGATCTATTTAAATATCTTTATGACAAATTCTCTCCACCATGATGATTGAGGCTTTATGGTTTATATTGAAGTTAGGAAGTTAAGTTCTCTTGTCTTTTACAGGTTTTTGTTTGTTTGGCTATTCTGTGTCCTTTGTTTTTCTATATGATAGAAAATTTTAGATAGAAAATTAGACAATTTATTTCTTAAAAGTTTGCTGGGATTTGGTTGAAATTTCTGTGAATATAATGTTAGTTTAAAAGGCAGCTCACATATTTACAATATCAAGTCTTGGAATCAGTGAAAATGATATATATCAATTTAATTAAGTCTTTAATTTCCCCAGGGAATCTTTTTTATTTATCAGTATAAATGTCTTATATCATTTGTCAGATTTGTCCCAATAATTTTGGCAGTTTTTAAAAGCATGTTTCAGTTACGTTTTTAATGTGATTTTTTATAGATAATTTCAGAGTCACATACAATTTCAAGAAATACCTACCTTCTCTAGTATCCATAAATAATAATATTTTGTAGTCATAGAATATCTCAACTAAGATATTAATATTTGGGCTTTCTCAGTTTTAACTTCTATAATTTTTTCTTTAACTATTTTGTTAAGATATCCACCACCACACTCAAGATATGGAACAGTTTGAACAAAATAATGATTCTTCATTTTTCTTCATTACCCCTAATGAACTGCCCATCCCACATACCCACCCTTCCCTCTAGTTCCTAATTTCTGGCGAATGGCTATCTCAGTACCATCAGGAACTGATATTGGGTCATTTAGATACCAACCATTGCTAATCAACTAGAGAGTTCTTCAATATGTCATCTTCATTCAGAGATCCAGAATAAAGTGGTTCCCCATTTAACAAGATAGAAAAATGGGATATGCATATCCGATGGCTTATAAAATTTCACATGGCACTGTTGTATAACACTTCCACTCACTCTTGGCCTTATCTGACCTCAGAAAAAAAAAAAGAACACAATTCTTCCATGCATCTAGAAGAAAATCCACAAATAATTCTAGTGATTAGTAGGTATCTTACACTATGGGTGCCATGGTGGAAAATGCAAGGGAATCTCTGTGCTTAAAGTTGTAACAATTTAATTGATCATGTAATGGACACAGAATCATAAAATTGTATATTAAGTTATAAATTTTTTGCAGTTCCCCAGGGAAGACAAAAAAATGTGGAAGATTTCAGTTCCAAGTGGATAAATTTTAATACAGATCTTAAGGAATATATAGGGAGAAGGAAGAGAGAAAATGAATAAAATGACAAAATGAGCAAGGGAGGGAAAATCAGAAGTGGGGATTATAACAGTTGAAAGAGATCAGAGTAGTTGAAACAGATCAGAGTAGCTGTTTTACTTTTAATAAAATCATCTAATCAGATTTGGAGATTTGATGACAACTGTGATGTCAGTCAATAGTCACTAATCAATAGTATGAAGGAGGAGATACCATTATCACTGTGGTGCAACAGTGAGTGAACCTGAGGATTTTGCAACAGCACATGGACAAGATCATGATCCAGACACAGATGGGATTGTGGGTGTCAACATTAATATTGGTACCCTTTGCTTTTGATTTTGCTCAGTTTTTCCAGATGGGGTATAATTTCCTTGGCTATGAAAGCAGCTCTAGATTTTTCTCATTGATTTGTAGAGTGGGAATGCAACTATAAACCAGGTCAGAGGAGAAAAACAGACCAGAGAGAGAATGGGTGAGTGGCTATGCCAAGGCTTTTCTCACCTAAGAGCTAAGAGCATTAGAGGTGATATGGCTTGAGCATGTAGGTCATCTCCTTCATAGCACAGGACCTCCTATAATATGCCCTAAAAGAACATGGATATACAAGATATAACACTGAGAGGGACTTAAAACTTCATCTACACCCTAGTTCCTTATTTGGGTCAATGAATTAGTTATCCTCTTAATAACAGAGATAACCATATGTACAGTAAATATTGTAGGAGATAAGTGCTAA